GGTGCAATGCTGCAGTATTTGCTTACGACACATATGAGGGTTTCCAGGAGGGAATGGAAACGGCTGCAGCCGCTATTGACTTAGAAGATGCGTACAACAGCGTCCCATACATCATGCTAATCAGACTGCTGTTGAATATGCAGATAGAAACGAAATTGATCAACTGGATCGCAGCAGCGCTGTTTGAAAGAACAGTGTCGCTTCGATGTGGTGAATAGGCATCCGAACCTCAACGTGTCCTAGTGGGTCTGCCTCAGGGATCACCATTGTCGCCTATGCTCGTCAATGTGTACACAGCATGAGTCACGAGTGCACAAAGCGCAGGCCTAGGTAGAACAATGTCGTATGCAGATGCTATCCTTGTTTACCGTCGAGGTAAAAACAAGCAGAAAATTACTACAACACGAACTAGACTGACTTAGTGAGTGGTGCCAGGAATCAAGAGCTCAGGTGAACCCGTCCAAAGCCTCCTTAACATGGTTCTCTCTGAATACCCACATCGTCAGTACACCAACGCCAGCCGTAAGCATCTGTGGTGTGGACATCGAGAGAACGGACACCGTGAAATACCTGGGCATGACATTTGACAGATGCTTGTCATACAAATGCCACTTAGACAACGTCATACTTAGAGCCAGGAAAGGTCTGACAGCACTCAAGATGCTAGCAGCAGCTGATATTGAACAACGCCTACCTTACCTTCTCTATCAAGGGCTTGCGCTTAGCGTAATTGACTATGGTCTTGTCCTCCTCACTGTCAGCAAAACCCAGCTAGAAAGACTGGACCGAGTACAAAATGAGGCCATGGGACTCATACTCGGCTGCCAAAAAACCTATGCTTCAAGATTGTGGAAAGAACGCTACAGTTAAGTCCCTGGGGGTATGATTTAACCGAAGCCTTGCTTATACTGAGCACACGCCCGGCTCTCTAGCGAAGTTGGTTAAACCTGACTTTCGCGGCGGCCGGGTGACGAACTCCTTGTGGTCCGGGTTCATTCCCGGGGGTAGACAGAAAAGCCACATTTCTCCCAGATTAACGGTACCTATAATGGAATCAATGCTGAAGGGTTGCGATATCCATAGTACCGAGCCAAAGGGTTTACAACTCATGGTTTCTTGATACGTTAAAAAAAAAATACTGAGCACACAGATCAGGTGATAATAAAAGCCTGGGTGTGATGAGAGTGATGGGTTCGAGCAGTGTTATTTATGTCTTATGTCCACACACAGATGGAGAGGATGGAAAGGATACATAACGAGACAAAAGGAAAATCGTGGATAGGTCAGGCCAAGGACATTATTCAGCAGGTGTGTTCACCTGAGGATAGAACCCGGCAAGGAACGTTTTTAAGTACCAACAGAGCTCTGTGCGACATTTTCAGTTTGCATCCGAATAGACATAAAATCCAGACAACAAATTCCAGCCACGGTGGAGGCAGAAATTCAGGCCTCGATTTTCGAGAATTCTTTAAAAGTGGAGGTTGTCATTTACACAGATGGGTTTGTTCTTCACCTTGTGGGAGTTTACATCTCAGGTAGGAGGGAGATGTGTGAAGGAAGACTCCGACATTTTTGCCTGACTACAAGTAATCTGGCTATGGGGGAATCATGGCAGTGGCCAAGGCAATAATAATAATATGGCAGGAGACACAGACTTTCAACCGTTCATGATGTTTTGGTGACTAACTGAGTATGAAAATCTAGTATGAAAAGCTAATAAGCTTTCAAGCAATGCTGCTGATATACTGAATGATCTATGAAAAAAAAAAAAAAGACGTTTGCGAGAACCAAGTGACTTTGAATATTCAACAATGCATAATAAGCAAATTAAAATGGTGTGGCCAGACAAGAGTAGCATGCTGGAGGCCAAAGAAGATTAAGTGGGATAAACTAAGGACGGGGAGGGGGGCGATTTTGAACCGAATGGCTCAATGTGCACTGAGAATAATATGTTGACTGATAGTTACAGAGCGTGTGTTTTCATTATAAATATCGTACTATCATTATTATATCCTTTTGCAAAAAAAAAAAACTCAGTGCAGTGTAGTCTTCTTCTTCTTCTTCTTCTTCTTCTTCTTCTTCTTCTTCTTCTTCTTCTTCTTCTTCTTCTTCTTCTTCTTCTTCTTCTTCTTCTTCTTCTTCTTCTTCTTCTTCTTCTTCTTCTTCTTCTTCTTCTTCTTCTTCTTCTTCTTCTTCTTCTTCTTCTTCTTCTTCTTCTTCTTCTTCTTCTTCTTCTTCTTCTTCTTCTTCTTCTTCTTCTTCTTCTTCTTCTTCTTCTTCTTCTTCTTCTTCTTCTTCTTCTTTTCTTTCTTCTTCTTCTTCTTCTTCTTCTTCTTCTTCTTTCTTCTTCTTCTTTTTCTTCTTCTTTCTTCTTCTTCTTCTTCTTCTTCTTCTTCTTCTTCTTCTTCTTCTTCTTCTTCTTCTTCTTCTTCTTCTTCTTCTTCTTCTTCTTCTTCTTCTTCTTCTTCTTCTTCTTCTTCTTCTTCTTTCTTCTTCTTCTTCTTCTTCTTCTTCTTCTTCTTCTTCTTTTCTTCTTCTTCTTCTTCTTCTTCTTCTTCTTCTTTCTTCTTCTTCTTCTTCTCTTCTTCTTCTTCTTCTTCTTCTTCTTCTTCTTCTTCTTCTTCTTCTTCTTCTTCTTCTTCTTTCTTCTTCTTCTTCTTCTTCTTCTTCTTTCTTCTTCTTCTTCTTCTCTTCTTCTTCTTCTTCTTCTTCTTCTTCTTCTTCTTCTTTCTTCTTCTTCTTCTTCTTCTTCTTCTTCTTCTTCTTCTTCTTCTTCTTCTTCTTCTTCTTCTTCTCTTCTTCTTTCTTCTTCTTCTTCTTCTTCTTCTTCTTCTTTCTCTTCTTCTTCTTCTTTCTTCTTCTTCTTTCTTCTTCTTCTTCTTCTTCTTCTTCTTCTTCTTTCTTCTTCTTCTTCTCTCTTCTTCTTCTTCTTTCTTCTTCTCTTCTTCTTCTTCTTCTTCTTCTTCTTCTTCTTCTTCTTCTTCTTCTTCTTCTTCTTCTTCTTCTTCTTCTTCTTCTTCTTCTTCTCTTCATTCTTCTTTTCTTCTTCTTTCTTCTTCTTATTCTTCTTCTTCTTCTTCTTCTTCTTCTTCTTCTTCTTCTTCTTCTTCTTCTTCTTCTTCTTCTTCTTCTTTCTTCTTCTTCTTCTTCTTCTTCTTCTTCTTCTTCTTCTTCTTCTTCTTCTTCTTCTTCTTCTTCTTCTTCTTCTTCTTCTTCTTCTTCTTCTTCTTCTTCTTCTTCTCTTCTTCTTCTTCTTCTTCTTCTTCTTCTTCTTCTTCTTCTTCTTCTTCTTCTTCTTCTTCTTCTTCTTCTTCTTCTTCTTCTTCTTCTTCTTCTTCTTCTTCTCTTCTTCTTCTTCTTCTTCTTCTTCTTCTTCTTCTTCTTCTTCTTCTTCTTCTTCTTCTTCTTCTTCTTCTTCTTCTTCTCTTCTTCTTCTTTCTTCTTCTTCTTCTTCTTCTTTCTTCTTCTTCTTCTTCTTCTTCTTCTTCTTCTTCTTCTTCTTCTTCTTCTTCTTCTTCTTCTTCTTCTTCTTCTTCTTCTTCTTCTTTCTTCTTCTTCTTCTTCTTCTTCTTCTTCTTCTCTTCTTCTTCTTCTTCTTCTTCTTCTTCTTCTTCTTCTTCTTCTTCTTCTTCTTCTTCTTCTTCTTCTTCTTCTTCTTCTTCTTTCTTCTTCTTCTTCTTCTTCTTCTTCTTCTTCTTCTTCTTCTTCTTCTTCTTCTTCTTCTTTCTTCTTCTTCTTCTCTTCTTCTTCTTCTTCTTCTTCTTCTTCTTCTTCTTCTTCTTCTTCTTCTTCTTCTTCTTCTTCTTCTTCTTTCTTCTTCTTCTTCTTCTTCTTCTTCTTCTTCTTCTTCTTCTCTTCTTCTTCTTCTTCTTCTTCTCTTCTTCTTCTTCTTCTTCTTCTTCTTCTTCTTCTTCTTCTTCTTTTCTTCTTCTTCTTCTTCTTTCTTCTTCTTCTTCTTCTTCTTCTCTTTCTTCTTCTTCTTCTTCTTCTTCTTCTTCTTCTTCTTCTTCTTCTTCTTCTTCTTCTTCTTCTTCTTCTTCTTCTTCTTCTTCTTCTTCTTCTTCTTCTTCTTCTTCTTCTTCTTCTTCTTCTTTCTTCTTCTTCTTCTTCTTCTTCTTCTTCTTCTTCTTCTTCTTCTTCTTCTTCTTCTTCTTCTTCTTCTTCTTCTTCCTCTCTTTCTCTCTTTCTTTCTTTCTCTTTCTCCTCCTCCACCCCCTCCTCCTGCTTCGCTAAATGGCGGTTGGCATGTCGTGCTGTGATTTACAGTTCTTCTTCTTCTTCACTTCCTCTTTTACCGCTGTGGGTGTCGAGGGAGATATAAGGTTCTGTTTTTAGCTCTTCTGGCCGCCTCGACCATAGGCACATCGTGCTGTTGTAGAGTTTCTCTGATGTTATCCTTCCATCTTGTTCTTGGTCTACCCCGTCCTTCTTCTCTTTACATGAGTGCTTTGTATGGTATGGTGTCACAAGGCATTCTCTCTAAGTGGGCAAACCATTTCACTTGCTGTCTTCGTATGTAATCCAGAATTGGTTCTGTGCCGACTTTTTCTCTTATTATCTCATTCCTGATCTTATCTCTTATGGTAACTCCTACAGCTCTTCTCAGACATCTCATTTCCGTGGTTACTAATTTTGTTTGCGACAGGCCTAGCAAGCCGGCAATGGATTTATTATCGCTACAGAAAACACAATGAGATATAAACGGATTTACAGTTAGACTACGAAATCTTCACTTTTTGTCCAAAACATCGGTTTCAGCAAATCCCTCATTATTAAGTGGCCGTATACATGTCTTTTTATTCCCCTAGGAGAGCAGTGGGCCTTCCCCTTCCCCCTTTTCTCCCATGCCGATGCCCCCGGAACTCCAATAATCATTTCGACTTTAAACCTGCAAATAAAAACTGTTACCTACCTTCACACAGGAAGATGTTTATTGTTGCCAGGCAACATGTAATCAACATGGTGGCGTAGTTTTATAAAATTCTCTTGCCGTCAGCAAGATGAACCAGGTGAACATACTATATCTTTTAATAATGTGTATGTACATATATAAATTTAGCTTTCAGTGGCGTTTCCATCTGTATATTAAAACTGTGGAAATAATGTACTAGCATAATCACTTAGTCAAATGCGACTACATGCTTCAGAACAAGGCTTCCTGTCTCGTCACATTCACAAGTGAAAGCTGACAGTCTTTAACTTGAATTCACATACTTACTAAAGTTATTTCTCTAACATTTTACTTTCTTACTCTGGTTTCTGTTTCACAGTGGGGCATATTGTTATTACATATGTATGTATATATACGTATATATATATATATATATATATATATATATATATATATATATATATATATATATATATATATATATATACTCTTTATTTGCAAATTATACCACCTGGTACTAGTATATGCTGTTTGATCCCTGAAATTTATAATTGAGATAGTTCCTGGTTCTCTGACATGCTGGTGTCAAGAAAATGGTGCAGGTTCTATTCTCGACAAGGATATTTTTTGCTAAATCACGTAATGGTTGTGTGTGTGACCCAGGCTGCTACAGATGAGATCCACACATTGTCAGAGTTTTTTGGGAAGCAGAGCTGGGAGAAAAATAAACTATTCATCCAACCTCATATCTCGTGAACTGGAATATAATTTTGGTCCAAGAATTCACACCGAACTATCAGTCCCTTTAAAAAAAAAAACTATCTTTACCACTATAATGTAGGCCTATCTGTTATAATTTCATATAATTGATGTGTGTGCTCAGTCCTTAAATGGCTACACACTCTGCTTCCTATCCAAAGGTTTTGGCATTAGATCCACAGCTTCTTCTTCTTCCATCCTTCTGTCAGAAAACTGATATTAGAAGTCTGGTAGCCTTTATGAAAGCTATAGTGCAGTCCATATCTTCTCATGTACCATACAATTTTTTCTTCATTATGGTTGGAACAGGCCAGATTGCATCTCTGTTGTCACAATATACAGCAAGTCTTTTTTTCAAAATTGACCTCTGCCTGCCAGGTCGGCCCATCCTAAAATGGGTGCTAGGTGAAGTCCAGGTAAATAAAGGCAGGCAGCATGATATTGACCACATCACCCATAAAGGGCTGTGTGATCTATAAAAAATATGAGTTTAGGTTCATATTCCCGATGTGCCACTGGTGTGAAAGGGTTCTGTCCATTTACTTTAGTCCCTGTACATCCACAAGTCTTGGCCTCAAATCTTCACCAATGTGAATTCCTAAACCTTCCATGGGATCACAACCTGGCAGCCTAAAAATTGGTGCCAGAGAATGTTTATGGGAAGAACAGTTGATTGGCATGATCTTAACCATGAGACCCAATTGAGTGCTGATTGGCCTGTAGAAATATGATTCTAGTCCCATATACCTGATGCTCCAAGTGTTTGAAAAGGTTGTTGCTTTTTTTTTAATTTCCTAAGACCCTTTATGACTTTAATATTCTATTGCATTCGTCTGCTTAACTCTTTGAGTCCCAGGGGGTTTAGCATAAGAGGCCCAAGGGGAAGTCAAAAGAGAAGTAAAATCAGTGCATCTTGCGTTCATTGGGCCTCTTGACACAAACCTATGAACGTATGATGCGTTCCTTTGGACTCAAAGAGTTAATGCTGTTAGGTATTTCAAATGATTGGTACCCAAGATAGTGCATGCTCACTAGCTTGCTGCATGGTAATATTGTTAAGTTTTAGCAAGTTGTTAATTCCATCTATCCATATTCTTCTTCTTCTACCTCAGCACTTGATGTTTCTATTTTCTTGTTGTATGCTGTTGCAACCGGTGATGCTGGGTTTATTCTGACCAGATGGCCAAACTGCTTTTCAATAAATATAATTATAGGTGTTGTTCCCACTGTTCTAATGATATTTTTGTTTCTTTTATACACAAATTAAATGCAGCAATGAATTATAAAGTTTATTTTTGTCTCCTAATTTTTTTTTTTAAAATAACATGATAATGTGGCATTACATTTTTCCCAACAAGTTGTCTACTCATCCTTTGGTCTGCTTTATATTTTTCCATATGCTGTCATACTTTTGCAACTATATATTGTGTAGGTGACATATTTTTGTCTTCACTTGCCTAGATATTTCTTGGTACCATTTTTAAGGCTGGATTGATTAGAAAGCTATGGGAAGTTGTAAGAAAATGGTTTAAACAGAAATACAAACCTGTAATCTGGACTGCACTAGCATAAAACTAATATAATGAGAAAAATATAGCAATCATGACATTTTTCAAATATGCCTTTTGTTTTCACAGACATTATTAAAATGTTTGCTAATGTACTTAATCTCTAATTTGTCAGAATACTCTGCCCCCTATAAAGAAATCTGGGGCTGGAAAAGGTATAAATCTTGTGCAGAAAAGTCGTAAGCTGGCTGTAAGTTTCAAAGCACATTTCTATGTTCTTTCAGATTCTTACTGTAATTGTGCATTTCTTATATATATGACATGAGCATTTATAAAAATTTTCTTTTCCTGTACTGCGATATTGGGAGATGCTGTGTTGTAGCGGCTAACTACTCGCCTGCAGGCCAAAAGATTGTGGGTTCAAATCTGCAGAGCCAGATTGTTTTAATAAATGGATTTGACTTCCATGTCAACCCAGTCTGAAATAGGCAGGAGGTAAAGTCCTGGAAAGTAAAGGTGGTCTGGTATGATGGGCTGACTGGTCTATAAAATATTGGTCGAGTACTATATATTCATACACCTAAGGGCAGCGTTAGCGCTGTCGATAGGAGGCTCGCTTCCAAATCCAGCTGCGACTCGCTGCAGCCGATGGCCGGTGTTCGAAACCCGGGGTTCACCTAGGCTCCAGAAAATTGGTACCAGAGATAACACTCTGGGGTAAATAGAGGAACAACGCTGTAGCTACGGAGTTGCGTGCGGACAGCGGACAGTTTCTTATCAGCTGTCTGTACTGGTGGCAGAGCGCTTATGGTTTATAACTGTTTATAGTGACGCTGGTTCACATCTCCCGACTTTACCTTTACACCTAAGGGCATGGAAAAGGGTTCCCTTGACAGTTGAAAAGCGTAGGTTTAATAGGTTGCTCTAAGTTGTGTGGCTCTGTGGCTAAGTCGATGAGAATTCTTCGTAGTGTCGGGATGCCAGGTTCGATACCAGCTGCGGGCCATGCACCTTGCGTTGGTTTCGACAGTGGTATCAAAAAAGCCGACCGTCCAGAAGCAATGGCAAACTACTAAACATAAATTTGCCTAGAAAAATCACACAACAGCCAGGGGCTGTTGAGGTTGGTTCTGCAATGTCCTGTAAAGGATATGCAACTAACTAACCTAAGTTGTGTAAACAACAAGCACTCTTTCATATCAGTGTAATGACATTTTATGTTTGTTTTTGGAGCTGTTTTTCAAGGCAAAATGGTGTCTTTATTCTCCAGGAAAATTCCTACGCTTTTAATATATCCTCTGACAAATTCTCATCTTGTGTAAATTGCTTATTGCTTTTGGTATCTTTTGTAAAATAAACCATGCCATAAGCTAATGGACTCAAATTTTACAGGGGTTAGGTTGGTGGATTTTAACTGAGCTAAATTGACCAACAGTTTAAAAAAAATTATCAATCTTAAAAAACAATTAGACCTAAATGGGTGTAGGTATTGTGTACCACCTGGGGGGAAAAGCCCCGGTTTTTTTTTCTTGAGCAACATATTTTTCCTTTCAGTATGAAGAGCCGGCAAAAGAAATTCAAGATGCTAGTTACAAAAGCAAGAAACGGCTGAGGGAGCTGAAGAAAATGAAACAGAGGTATATTTAAATTAATTAACTTTTATAGTAACGTGGAAAAGACAGTGGTCGAGGGTGCAGTTTGTGGAAGGAGAGGCAGGGGTCGATGGATACAGGACATTCAAATTGCATTGGCATTGAAAGCACACAGCAGGTCCGGAGAGCTGACAAGGAAAAGGGATACTTTCAGGCGTGCCATGAAGGGGGATACGTAAACGACTTGCTGATTGATGATGATAGTAACAGTCAGTTCACTAAATATTGCTGTTATTGCTCAGTTCTATACAATATTCTTGCTCAGTTCTATACAATGTTCTTGCTCTGTTCTATACAATATTCTTGCTCAGTTCTATACAATGTTCTTGCTCAGTTCTATACAATGTTCTTGCTCAGTTCTATACAATGTTCTTGCTCAGTTCTATACAATATTCTTGCTCAGTTCTATACAATGTTCTTGCTCTGTTCTATACAATGATCTTGCTCATTTCTATACAATATTCTTTGCTCAGTTCTATACAATATTCTTGCTCAGTTCTATACAATATTCTTGCTCAGTTCTATACAATGTTCTTGCTCAGTTCTATGCAATATTCTTGCTCAGTTCTATACAATGTTCTTGCTCAGTTCTATACAATGTTCTTGCTCAGTTCTATACAATATTCTTGCTCAGTTCTATACAATATTCTTGCTCAGTTCTATACAATGTTCTTGCTCAGTTCTATACAATGTTCTTGCTCAGTTCTATACAATATTCTTGCTCAGTTCTATACAATATTCTTGCTCTGTTCTATACAATGTTCTTGCTCAGTTCTATACAATGTTCTTGCTCAGTTCTATACAATGTTCTTGCTCAGTTCTATACAATATTCTTGCTCAGTTCTATACAATGTTCTTGCTCTGTTCTATACAATGTTCTTGCTCAGTTCTATACAATATTCTTGCTCTGTTCTATACAATGTTCTTGCTCTGTTCTATACAATGTTCTTGCTCAGTTCTATACAATGTTCTTGCTCAGTTCTATACAATGTTCTTGCTCAGTTCTATACAATATTCTTGCTCAGTTCTATACAATGTTCTTGCTCTGTTCTATACAATATTCTTGCTCAGTTCTATACAATGTTCTTGCTCAGTTTTATACAATGTTCTTGCTCAGTTCTATACAATGTTCTTGCTCAGTTCTATAAAATTTTCTCGCTCAGTTCTATACAATATTCTTGCTCAGTTCTATACAATGTTCTTGCTCAGTTCTATACAATATTCTTGCTCAGTTCTATACAATGTTCTTGCTCATTTCTTTACAATATTCTTGCTCAGTTCTATACAACGGTCTTGCTCAGTTCTATACAATATTCTTGCTCAGTTCTATACAATGTTCTTGCTCAGTTCTATACAATATTCTTGCTCAGTTCTATACAATGTTCTTGCTCAGTTCTATACAATATTCTTGCTCAGTTCTATACAATATTCTTGCTCAGTTCTATACAATATTCTTGCTCAGTTCTATACAATGTTTTTGCTCTGTTCTATACAATGTTCTTGCTCAGTTCTATACAACATTCTTGCTCAGTTCTATACAATGTTCTTGATCAGTTCTATACAATATTCTTGCTCAGTTCTATACAATGTTCTTGCTTTGCTCTAAACAATGTTCTTGCTCAGTTTTATACAATGTTCTTGCTCAGTTCTATACAATGTTCTTGCTCAGTTCTATACAATGTTCTTGCTCAGTTCTATACAATGTTCTTGCTCAGTTCTATACAATGTTCTTGCTCAGTTCTATACAATGTTCTTGCTCTATTCTATCACAAAAAGATGTTACATTGAGTCTTTGTTTCTGAATATTTTAGAATAACTACTTCTGTCCCAACATGTATATTGTTAACACCTTCATTTTTAAGTATGAGTTGATCTGACTCTTAGAGGAAAAGCAAGATAGACAAACTTTTAGACTGCTACTGGCGACATTGGTATTGGAACTCTGCACTGGCTGCTAAAAATGGAGCACTTATTGGAATGCCAAAAACGCTGTGATGTCAGTTCTTGAGTCAGCTCAACTCTGATTTAAGTATTTATTGCCTTTAAACTCAAATTCCCAGAATTAAAGTGGTTACTGTAACAACTGTTTCAGACTGAATGAACTTAAATCACTGAACATTTGCCCATATGTACAGAAAATTCAAGATTACGGTAGAGGCATCTTGCCTTCTCAGCTGTAAACCACTGACAGGGAGGATACCCACACAAAAAAACACAAAAACAAAAAGAAGAAGAAGAAGAGAACTTGTACCTCTTATTTATATTGAGCATCTGTGAAAACCTACATAGTTTCTTTAGTATTCTGTGCCTTTATCCGGTTTTTGTTACGCAAGATCATATGGTGTCAAGAGGGTTACATTTCCATGTCCTAATATATAACGGACAAATGTTGCTCAACCCATGATTTCTATAGACCCATGGTGGATGATGTGGTCAGTATCTTGCTGGCTTCATTACTTCCCTGGATATCATTTTACTTGGTTTGATGGGAAAGCCTAGGTCAGTTTAAAGAACTGTATCTTTATGGAGGCTGACACCAATGACCACTGGGTGGGCAGACAAGTGTGCTACCTTCAAACCATTATGACTCCCCACAGTCTCAACTAATATGTATAATGAGAGTGTACAATGAACCTCCTTTTATAATTTGTATGTGTACATATGTGTGCACACACTTTGTGTCTTTCTGTGGGCATGTAGTTGTGCCTTTGTGTCTGTTTCCACATGTCATCACCATAATCATCAAGTACTGTAGCTCATGGGTTAGGTGTAAAACTACATGATAATCCCCTTCCATGGTTACCTATACAGTTCAATTTATTAATTAATTTTATTCCCCCTCATCACCTCCCACAGTCAGATAAAGCCGGTGTCAATAGAAGCAGAGATTGAAAGAGACAAGCATATCAGAATAATAGGACAGCTGAAGTAAGATTTTTGTTCCCAGTTTAAGTTTGTGGTGATCATATTTTAAATGTGATGCTGGCTAACACTGTTCACTTAGATGAAAGGCAAGAAATGCATATAATCAAACTGCTGCTGTTCTTTTGTTATTTTAACTCTTTTCTGGCTGCTAAAGATGAGGATGGAGCACATATGGGAAAGTTCTAAGTGATGAGAGGACGATTCTTGACTCAACTCAAAGCAAACAAAAAAGGAGAAACTTATGATTTTGGAGTTGATGATTTGAGTGTGGACTGTTGTCTATATCTATGTTTTAAACATTGACTTCTTTCAAATGATGAGATTATGAAGTTAGAATTGGTCACATTTCCTAGCCTGGATGTGCTCTTGCGTTGTGGTGCTAGTCTCATATTTGCATATCAGGAGTTCCGCTTCTGGCATGGCTGCGTCAGTTACCCTGATTATTTCAAGGCCAAAAGATCACATATTGTAACAGTTTTTATCGCTTGAAACAAACCATTTACCAGTTCAGACACTCGATGGCAACCACTGGATGCTGCAGGGAAATTTAAAACTCTGTAATTGTTCAATGTTTTTTTTGCAACTCATATACATCATCCATCTTAGCGCCCTTAGCAACATGGACAAACTATATGCAAATATGGCCACCTATGAAATTTTTGCACTGGAATACACAAGGGTCAGATAAATCCAGGGCAGCAGACATAAGATTTCTCATGCAGTGGAGCACACCAGTTGTTCTCCTTTGATAGCCCATACTAGCCCCATGAGTAATTGTACCTATAGGGTGTAAGGGCACACTAAGGTTGTAAGTCTCTTGATCAAGACATTCCTTCTACAGTCAAGACCCTTGTCTGTGACCAAAAAGGCACAAAACAGAATGGATTAAGAGGAGACAACCTCGATAAAATTCCATAATCTTACAGTGTACTTGCATGCCTATTGGTTGAATGGCTGTCGGATGTACAATTGTAAACATGGAGCGTCTGTTTAGCGGGTGGGATGACGCCATGCATATGGACTCCTTTAGGACATCCTCTGCCTCTTCCCTAGCAGGCATACAGTATTAGAGTTACTGTTTACTTCCACCACTGAAAGGATATTTTCTATGGATTTTGTACTTAATAATAAAAAGAATCATTGACGCAGCTATGGAATGCATGCTCTGTGCTTGATACAAAGATAGTGGAAAGAGGAGAAGATGAAGGAACGGAAAGAGTGCTAGAGAAGTTCATTGCTGTTAAGCTTAAAATGTTTTTAGAAAGGAAAGAGCTCCTTCCAAAAGGTTTGCGTAGTTACCGGCCAAGGAAAGATACTTGTCCAAATGCATTTAATCTTTGCTTTTAATGTTTATGAGGGGTTCCAGAATAGACAGTAGATAGTAGTGGCAGCACTTGATCTTGAGGATGCCTATAATAGAGTCAAATATGATATTTTTGATATCTGCTCTCACAGAGAAGAGGCTCTGTCCCTGGTTGGTGAACTGGATAGCAGCTGTCCTGCATTCACTTATGGTTGTCCTTTGTCTGGGTACACGGACCTCAGAACCATGTATTATCACCCCAGGGTTCTGCTATTTTACTAGTGCTCTTTAATGTGTATACAGGCAAGATTGCAGAACTTGAAGCACCAAATGTTGGAAGGATATTGACATCTGCAGAGGATGCTCTTGCATATAGGCAGGGGAGTGTTAGGAAACAGACAGTCCAAGAGCTATAAGCAACTTCAGACAAAGCGACTGACTGGTGTGCAGAGATGGGTACTGTCATCAACTCAGAAAAGGCAGCTTTCTGGACAATAAATTGTAAGAGCTCATTTTTCAAACCTAACAGTTAATGACAGAATCATCAAAAGAAAAAGAAAACTGAGGTCTTCTTCTTCTTCTGCCTTTGTATTCCCCCCCCCCCTCCCCAACCCCCCCCCAACTGAGATACCTGAGTATAATTTTTGATAGAAGCCTCATCTTCACGGATCATGTGGAGGCAGTTGCGGTGAAATGTCAAAAATGGCTCAAGATTATGGCAGCAATGGAATAGATTATGGACTTAGAATGCTCACCGTATCAAAGAGTTAGCTGTTGAAACTTGAATGCATTCAGATTGAAGCCATGTGGGTAATTCTAGGATGTACAAAAGATACCCATTAATATGCATGTGATATATACTTGCACTGCCTACTATTGCAGATAGGGGCTCTATTCACATTGAGTGACCCACAATGAGAGTTACTTCTCTTTACATTGATGCCTTGATTTGGTGTAGCGCTTGCACTATGTCACAGGGGTGCATCCTAGGTTGCAGGACTGTATGCAGCATATAATAGAGGCTGCATACAGTCGTCAGACATAGGCTGAGGCTGTGGAGTTTGGGGGTTGGGATTAGGCCCTGTTTTACATGTTTTGGGATCGTTAAAATCTCACAGCATAGAAGACGCCATATTGCCAGCCACTGACAACAAGGAGTAAAATACGACTTGCTAAGCCTGAAACCCCAGCAACATAGTGCAAGTGCCAAACCAAATAGAGGCATCAATGGGAAGGGAAATCACTATCATTGTGAGCTGCTTTTTGTGTAATTTACCCAGATAGGCTTAAAGTTCTACAAGCAGTCATATCTCATAGTAGCTGCAGATAAGAAGCCCCTCATGCATGAAATTCTTGGTAGAGCTAAAAGTCACAGACTGAAAAGAGGAAGGTCTTGGATGGCACAGTCTGAAGAAGCAATTAGAAATGTCTGTAGGCTTGAAAAATGTGGGGGAGGAGAGAGTGGGTTAAAGTGACCAAGAAAGAATCAGGTTTGTGTGGGGTTCTAACCACTTTAGGTCATGAATACAGGGACTGGCCAGCTGGTACTGCATAATCAGAAGTTCAAAAAAATGATTCATGACAGTTCTCAACCAGGTGATATGTGATTATGTATACAGATGGCTCAGTGTTGAGAGGCAGACGAAGTACATTGGGGTTAACAGTAAAAGTTAATGAATGTTGCTAAGTGCAGCAAAATCTAGCATATGACATCACAACGTCTAGTTTGAGAATGGAGGTGGAGGCAGTTGCTGCAGCCTTTCACTGGCTTAAGAATCAGCTGTGCACATAGGCTGTAATTGTAACTGACACAGAGCATGTTAAAAAAGGTAGTGATGCATTTTCCATACAGAGTGGCAAGCATCGTTTCAGAAGTCCTGGGTAGTTAGCGTCCCTTGGATATTTTCTCTTGGTTATGCTCGTGTGCTTGGAAATGAGCAGGTAGTTAGATTGGTCAGTTCTGCACCACTTGGAGGTGATCAGATGTATGAGAAGCTAAATGCTTTAAGGGCCCTTTTAGATCGTGTGAAGAGTGCCGAGGCACAAATAGATCATTACGGTCTGAGGAGAATGACACTGTGAGGAGTGACCGGAGGATCTTGCTGACATTTAAAACACAATCAGTTACTGGTACCATCAGAATTGTAACTCTTCCATTGCTGCTGAAGAGTGGAATCAAGTGCTTAGGGAAGTGTTGTGATGTCGATTCTTAATTCACCACTTACAAAAATATAAATCTAAAATAAAAAATATAATTAATCAACTTCACAATAGGGTTGACAAAATAAATGTTGGAATTAGAAAACCTTTACCAGAATATGATGCAAATGGACAGAAAACAATTACGAGCAAAAATAATAAAATCTCTTTGCAGTCAGACCTGCCACCAAATCTCCATCCATGCTTGAACAGTTGAGTCTCTGCATTCATATTTCATCACAGGAATAAAATACTTGACAGGAAGTAACCAAGAAATTTGGGTTGGGGGGGGGGGGGGGGTGGATGAGAGGTTATGGTAAGGCATTAACTCAACTTTTTTTTTGTATAAACCATCTAAAGAAGCAAGGTGAAGGACAGCAGAAAGGGAAATTAGGGAGTGTAAACGGACATAGGATACCATGGGCAGAAAAGCAGCAATGGAGATCACTTTTGTGTCATTTACAAGGGCAGATATAACAAGAATATTTCTATTTAATGGACTTACTTTGGTAAATTTACAAGATCATGCAGAAGTGAGAGGCATTGAACAGGAAGGTAATAATGGAGGTAGAAGTGACAGTTATAGGAATATTTATAATACACTGAGCTAACATACTGAGAGTTGTTAATGAACACAAAGCTAGCTGTAGACACAATGTTAGATGTCACAAAATATGAAAGGTAAATGGGAACTCAAGTGGAAGTCCAGCAAGAAGGGATGTATTAGAGGAGCTTTACAACTTGTTTACATTTAGTGTGCTACCGGAACAATTAGTATCTTTACTAGTGTTGGGGAATGTTTGGCTTGCAGGCTGTATAAGGCTTACACAATCATTTGGTCTGATACTGCAATGTCATCCTTAATTTATTGTTTGATTAAATAAAGCAAATATGTAAGCTTACAGTTTATTTTATGGCCTGTAAATGATGTTTAAAATATCCAAATGGCCTTTGGGAAAAATTGAAGCTGCAGGAGAAAAAGCAGCTGTGGGTATGCCAATGTACTGCTATCTTGTTTCCTAAAAACCAAATCAAATGATATTGTGATGCACATTGCATGACATTCCTGTCTTTTCATTAATTTATTTTTTTTGCCATTTGTCTGTGCTCAGGGCGGCTGAAGCCAGGAACAGAATCAGGACAATGCGATTGCGCTATGAGGCAAACAAGGTATCTAGGTTTAAATATATACTTTAAAAAAATGCATTGACAATCTTAAATGCATTTTAATGTGAGCAGTTTTATCAGTTTAACCAATTGCTAGCCTCTGCACTGCCTTGAATGCCAAACTATGAATCTTTTCACCCCTAGGTACCTATTTCAAAAAGCCAATGAACCAGGATTTCAATGAAAAAAATTATTATTATCAAATTTTAAATCGAAACCCCATAGATTTACTTCCCAAATGGTTTAATTTAGATTAGTGAAGCATCTGACTGACAATTTGCAATCTAATTTATGCCATCATATGCAAAGCCACCAGCTAGTTAGCAGATCACATTCATGGACATCTTTTTTTGGATATTCACAGTGTAGCCCTGAAACAGTCTTTCTCCATTTTAATAAATGTAACCATCAAGACAAAATCAGCACTTTATAAAGCTCAGCTCCAGGGATTAAACCAGCTATCTCTCAATTGAAAATCACTGCATTCATTGTTTAGGTTTCTAAACTAGGCTGGAATGATTGTTCATCATATCTTTCTCAAATCTTTACATTTTGCTCTGGCTCTTTTTTATGTTTTGTTGGGTAATAGCTCTTCCTGTCCATATTTTCTTTCGTGGTTCATTGCTGTTTACTTGCTTGAAACATGTATTTGCTGTTGTATGCGTCTTTTCCTTACCCTCTGGTGAGCTTTCTAGTAAAAGTTTGTTTTGTGTTTAGTTACTTAAAATTAGGGCTGTACCGAATATTGGCTTCGGGGCCGAATAGTGGACCTATTGACTATTCGGTATTTGGCCGAATAGTTGCAGTCGGCCAAATACGAATAGTAGTTACTTTACACTGCATACACGGACTTCATGCTGACAACATGGAACGATTGGTTTTGTTGAAAGCTAATGCAGCTTTCCTGCATTAACCAAGCTGTTAGTGACAATTTCCAAGTTTAGTTACTTGTTATAATACTTAGGATTCTTTCATTCCTAGTTATTAGTTATCACAGACTGACTGAAGGATGCAAAACATAAAATGTTTTTAAATGTTTACTATTCTGTATGAATAACTAGACATGAAAGGAATATAAACTCTGGCCACATCCAAGTTGATAATATGAAAATCAAACTAACGGAAACATATAAGTACTTGGGTGCAAACTGCAACTGCTCCAACATGATATTGCTCTGAAACTTGAAGCAGAAATAAAAGAGATGAGGCCTTATTACAGGTTTTTGAAAACAGTCTAGAGAAGCAACAACGTAACACATAATCTGTTTAATTCACCATTGATCACTGGCATCATGAGAGCTAATAGACTAAAATGGTTGGGACATTTTGAAAGAATGTCAGATGCCAGAGAAGTAAAAATGTTTACACCTGATAGAGGAAGGGGTGTAGACCACGAGGCAGACAAAAAAGAAGTTCAAGAGATAATGTCCAGCCAGACCTGCAAACAACTTGTGTCACAAATTATGAAGAGAGATGAGAGATGAAGGAAGACGAGTGATATCTGCAGCAGTAAACCTCAAGGATTCAGAATGCTAAAGAAGAAGATGACTATTCTGTGCTACTTTTTGTGAAGTAAAAGTTCAGCGTACATTTGACTTTATAAATGTGTGTGTGTGTTTTTTAAAGATATATTTTATACACTATTCGTATTCGTATTCGGCCGAATAGTTAGTCCCGTTATTCATATTTGGCCAAATAGTGAAAATCACTATTCGGTACAGCCCTACTTAAAATATTATCTGTACTTGGTACCAAAAACATGTACTGTGTGACTCATGTCATAACCCCCCATGACCACTATCAATGAGGCTATGGGAGAATTTGACATCAAAGGGTTAAACATAATATTTTTAAATCAAAATAAAATAGGCTAAAAAAAATATAATGAAGAAACAAAATGTTATAGGAGAATATTTAGAAAAAAAAAGGAGCAAAAGCAGATAAATCAACAAGAGGAGGAGAAGGGCAAAAAGGCGGAAGAAAAGAAAAGTGTAGAAAGATAAGTAGGTACGTAGTAAATGGTAAGTTACTTAGCTACTTAAGGTAGAATTTTCGAACGAATTAATTTTGTTTCTTTGTTTAATTGACTGAATTCTATTTTTCATTACCAAAAGAAATGTGATATTTTGTTTTCAGGCACAAGAAATATCACACTTGATTGCCTGCCAACCTGTGGCACTGAAAGCTATTAGACTTGAGGCTCTAGTGCCACCATACACTGAAGTGAAGGAGAAAACAGAATTACTGGATAAGTTTCAGGTATCCTTTGATTGTATGTTTGTTGTTCATCCAAGCTTTGGATTGGTACTCTAAAAATTTTATATATATATAAGCAAAATATGTCTGCTGTTATCACGAAGGTCAATCAATCTAAAACAAATGTCACTGAAAGAGACGTGGTCTGAGCCATGAGAAGATATTTAATGGAAAGTGATGGCAAAACTGTACTCCATTTCCAAAAAGATTTTCCTAGAATACTTCCAGCAATAAATTCAGAAGGTTAAAGTCAAGAGAATCATCTTCATTGCTCTTCCCCGTGTGGGTTCAGGGGCCCTAATATAGGGAAAACAAGGATAGACCCACTGCCTACCCAAAAGCATTTCGTAAGAGTTGAATAATTGGGAGCTTACCTAAAAGTCAGAGTGTATCTTCCTGAGAGGCAAGGAATCAGCAGTCTGTGTACAAATGAGTCAGATCTGTAAAACGGATGCACACGCAAAACTCAGGTTCTGGAACAGGACTGCAGTCTAGAAGTGAATGGACAACGAGAATTTTCTACCACAGTTTACAGCTAGATGACGTGAAGAAGAAGATAGCAGATCTCCATTGCACTAGGTTATCCTATATAGCTCAGGTTCTCTCTGCAGAACAGCTAGCCACCAGTTGAGAGCGTTGCACAAAGCACAGACTTCAAAGCTGCAGTGACAGTCACCAGGGATCTCTGTAAAAGCTGCACTCGGGAATCAAATGACATGTGTCTGATATTAACCTATGACCTTCAGAGCATAAGGTAAACAGATGGACCACTTGGCCACAGAGACTTCTTCCATCAGTGGTGGGGCCATTGGGAAAACTGTGTGCAGCCCTTAATACTTTGAAGGGGATTAGAGTGTCAAGCTCTAGATGAGGCAGTTGTATTCTTTGTTTTTTGGTCATAAGTCGTATACTGTTTGTACAGACGTCATACATTTGATTATGATCACAGATATAAACTCTCTCTTATCTGTTTGTGTTTACTCACAGAGGCAGAGAGTTGAAGCCCTCCTGGAAGACAGCCTGGGGTTGCTGACCAACAGAGTTGTCTAGAATATGATCAAATTAACTAGCTTCTCGTACATTGCTGTCTGATGTTTATGGTAGTCTGTAATAATAAATGAACAGTTTGTTTGTCATGTGAATATAAAAAACTACTGTTTAAAATGTTTGTTTATCTACACTAAGTTCTGCATTTTGTTTGTTATTGTTTTATTTTTTACATATATTTGTAGCTCTTTTAGAACTTATAATATGTGCATACATTTGATCAAATTCTTTTATAATTAATTAAAAAATTTGTTTTAAAGTATTATAGTATAATACTTTAGTACATGTACGAGTTATGGATTTTGTTTCTTATATCTTGCCAATGTTTTTTTTAAATACTATGTTTACAAGAGAGGAAGTTCTGTTATCTGTGGGCATGAAAGTGTGGTTCATAAACTCTTCATATACCAAGTAACTCACAGTATGTTATTTGGTTAGTTAAAAAAAAAAGAGTATACTCTTATTACTTTCTTCTGTTACAGATACTTGATACATTAATTCATGTCAACCAGATTGATACTTTCGTTCCTTCTGTTTAATACTGTTATTTGTTTTAAGTCTTCGTAATCAAACAGTGGCTTCTTTAAACGAGAACTTTAGGATATAAAGAGTAAATTTAATTTTAGACTAAAAGAGTGAACGCTTTCAGTTGCATGGCATGTGTTTGTTCAACTGCTTCTATCTGATAAACAGTAGTTGCTATATGTATTAACTATTTGTGTCTGGAGGGGTTCACATAATTACATTAAAGGACAAAGAGAACTGAAGTAACAACTTAGATAGAATGGGTCCAGGGAACAAAAAGCTCAGAAACGTATATAATCTCATGGAACTCCGGTTAGCACATAGCTAATGGTTTGGTAATACTTCAAGCCTTGGTCAGATATGACTGAGTTACCATTTAACAGCAGTCGGTACCAGCTGTCTTCTGTCAACGCTGAATGTTGGGTGGCTTATACAACACCTGACATCCCATAATCTGCCCCCTACGGACAGAGGAGCGCTTTGGTGAGGATACTAGCCAAATCGTGGGAAGAGGAAGTGCAGCATGAACGCTTTGTGTTATGGCAGGGCAGACCTGGCCTTTAACCTTGGTTGACAGCTGGACTAGAAGGAAAGCTTCGACAGGAGGACAAAAAGAGCACTTCTTATTCTGCAGCCTCTGCAACCTGCTTTGTTCCAGACATACTGGTGTTACTTTTCCTTTAGAGTAAATAAGCCAGGATGAGGAAATGATCATGATACATGTGCAACATGTGGTCTCTACAATACATCCCAGGTTTTGTGCTATGGAAAGGAGGAACTTCATCCCTGGCCGTAACTGGTCTCAGATTTTGATTTGATTTGATTTGAATCAAGAACCGACATCACAGCACTTGGGGCATTTCCATAAGCGCCCCGTCCCGATCTTCAGCAGCCAGCGAAGAGTTCCGATACTAATGGTGCCAGTAGCATTCTGGTTAAACGTCCATCTTGCCTTCTGATTAAAGGTCCATCTTGCCTTCCCTCTGAGCCTCGAGCATCTGCCAGAACCGCTCGTCACTCCCAACTGCATCAATCTCACCACACTGTGGTGATCAATCTGCTCCTCCGAGCTGTACAATCTCTCCCATAATGTACTAACCACGTCTGCCCTAACATTCATCAGTGTTCCACCAAGCTGTGCAGAGCCAGCCAGTCCATCTGTCTGTTCATTTCACAACACACCGGCATCCCCTTGTTAAAAAATCCAGACAATACTCCTCACCCGTGTCTTCCGCAGCGAGGCATGCCTGTCCTGATCTTCCTCAGCATGCTTTCTGAGTCAGTTACAATCACAATGTCTGTGTGTGTCGTGTTCTCGAGCCAGCGGAAAGCCGCAGTGACCGCCTCCACCTCCATTCTTAAGCTGGATGTTGTGGTATCATATGCCAGGCTCTCCTGCACCAAACGTCAACCTAAGAAACCACAAGCACTTCTTTCTGTGTAAATGATCAAATCTTCTGAGCGAGCATTTTCTTGAATTAATTGCTGTATTTCCACCTCTGTGGCACCTGCTGGCCAGTCTCTGCATTTTAGGCCATGTTATGAGAAGAGGGAAAATAGAACATGTTGTGACCACTGGAAAGATCTGTGAAAAAAGGGATAGAGGAAGACAACGAGAGAAGATGCTTGACAGTCTTGTTGCATGGCATGGAGGTGTGTCGGCACACGAACTGATACATGCTGCAGGAGATCGCAGATTATGTAGAGGCATGATCGCCTACGCCAGTCGGCAGGGCACCTGATGATGATATACATATCATTTTGTGAGCATTTTTTTTTTTTGACATGGAACGCATTATCGTATTTTACATTAATTTATATGAGAAAAATTGTTTCGCGTAACGAGTGCTTCGCTTAACGAGTATGATTCTGGAACGAATTATGCTCGTTAAGTGAGGTTCCACTGCATTTCAGTTTGCTCTCTCTGTTGATGTTTCTACCATCTATCGTGAGACTTGGGACATTAGCTTTAACGATCCTGTTGTCCAGAGAACACCACAAAACAGAACACTTTTCTGGGTGGGCGACAGCCCTAATTTCTGTACACCACTCAGTCACTTTGTCCACTGTCGCTTGTAGCTCCCGGGCTGTTTGTTTCCTCTTTTCCCCCTGCCTATATGCAAGTATATCATCCGCAAAAGTCAGTATCCTTCCAACTCCTGGTGCTTCTAGGCTTGCAATCTTGCTTGTATACGCGTTAAAGAGCACGGGCGAGATAGCGGATCCCTGTGGCAGTCTTGGGGCCAAAGTGCATGGTTCAGAGGTCCATGAGCCCAGTCGGAGTGCAAATCGACGTGAATACAGGACAGCTGCAACCCAATTCACCATACATGGACTGACCTCCTTCTCCTTCAGTGCAGTCATCAAGATGTCGTATCTTACTCTGTTATAAACATCCTCGAGATCCAGTCCTACCGCCATAGTTTCCTGTCTGTTCTGGAACCCTTCATATATGTCCAAAGCAAAAGTGGCCGCATTTGCCCATGTGTGGCTTCCCAGACCTCTTGGGAGAAGCTTTCCCCTTTCAAAAAAATTCTTGCAGCTTTACAGCAACTATCTTCTCCAAGACCTTCCAAATGTGTTTTGTAAGGCGGTGATTCTAAAGCCACTGAGCTTTGAATGATCCCTAAAAGGTTTTGGTAGTGGGATTAGGATAGTTGTGCACCCAGTCCTGCGGTACTTTTGCTGTCTTAATGCTCTGGTTAAAACAGTCAGCCATCTCCGCCAGGTCCATATTGCTCAAAGCCTTTTTATGGCTATACCTGACCCCATCAGGCCTTGGTGCAGTGTCCTTTGCCTTTTTCCAAATTTGTTTGATATCTTCTACTCTTATCATATCTTCATAGTGCAAATTTTTTAAGGTGCCAGCTAACTCCTTTCTAAATGCATCCCTGATGTCTACATCATTATGATCTGTCTGAGCTATAAAACTATGGAGAAAAGCCTCCCCTTTCTCCTTGTCTGTTGTCATACGCACAACATAGTTTCTATAGATTATTCCCACTGTCATGGGCCGATCTTTTCTTTGCATCTGCCTTTGCATTTTCCCGAATTTCTCCAATGTTTTATCGCCTCCCATGTCATACACAAAAGTTTCCCACTTTGCTCTGTTGGCCTGTGCAGCACAGCGCTTGAAAACCTCCACCTTATCTTTTTTTTACATTTTCCGCCATCTCCACTTTCTCTCGTGAGCTTGAGGGTGTCTGTCGTATTTTCTTTAGCTGCTTCACTGCGGCTCTCTTTGCCTTCCACGCCTGTTCTACTTCTGGAGTCCACCATGGTCTCAAAAACAAATCGAAAGGCAGAAGTGGCGGGTTATAAGTCCTTGTCAAACTGTTGTAGACAAGGGCGCCACGGGTTGCTTCTGACGGTGGGAGACATCTTGGAATGTCACTGATTAACTACCGCCCGCCTCAAGCTGGGCAGCCCCCAACCAATAAGGTGTTGATCCGCCACAGCTTCTATGCTTCAATGGGTGCTTGGAGCTAGGACAAAATCCGAACTGTAGGCTGTAAAAACCAAAGCACCAGGCAAGCTTCGACTAGGCTCTTGGAACGTAAGGACTGTGTCCCGAGTTTTCCACTGACCTGGATAACATTAGGGATGTAAGAAAAACAACTATTATTGATGCCGAACTCAATATGGCATAGAGTGAATTCTTGCTGGCTTGTGGCTCCATGTTTATGCAGAATAAAATATGCGCTCATTTTAATACAAACCATCCTAGTTTTAGCGGCTATCATTGCAGCTGTGGACGGCCACACTGCATGGATGCCGACATCAGCGTCAGTCAGCGTCACATCAGCTACGACAGACACCATCTACGACAAAATACTTCTTTGGAAACATGTCTTATAAGATTAGGAGGGTGATATATCATATACTCGTCCATTCTCGATCTGACGGCAACCTTTACAATAATCGTAAGCTGAAGGCCACCACCAGGACAAAAAAAGATTGGCTACTTATCAGAGAGCTGCTGTTTGTAGTAATTATCACCCACTCAGACAATTAACTGCAATGTTAACTATCTGCATTTGCTAATGAATGTTGTGAATTTTGACTAACAATTAACAAAAAGAATGTTGAAATAAGAATCGACATTACAGCCCTCATGACTCCCCTCCTCCCCACAAGCGCTCCGTCTCCATCTTCAGCAGCAAGCGGAGTTAAAATTCCGATGGTACCAGTAACTGATTGTATTTCCGTCTCGCTTTTCCATGAGTGTCGAGCGTCAGCCAGATCCCCTTGTAACTTCTCGCAGTGCCATTCTCCTCAGACGAAACGGAAACATGGTTGCTAAAAGAAATGCAATCTATTAAGAGATAAGTTTAATGTTTCGGTACATTAAATGACAAAATTTACTGGAGGGAAACGTTGAGGTAAGGTGTGCTCGGCGATACAAGAGGGAGGTTAACATTCACAGATTAACTAACAGCAGTCTGAGAAAGTGCGCAAAGTGAAAGAAGTGTACACACAGGTGAGAGGCATACAGACCTTTTTTAACGACGAACGAAGAAAAAGGAGAAAAAGAAGTGAGACAGTTAGAGGAAGAGTATACTAAAGATCCATTACAGATTGGAGAAGACACCTGGCCGATAAGCAACAGCCTGTACACTGTACAAGCTGACATAGACGATAAACAGGCAACTAGAAAATCGAACTGAGACTCTGGATCAGCTTATACACAAGAAGAGATGGAATTTCATGGAAATCAAACAGTAGTCAAACACAGAGGTACCAGCGTGGGTTCCATGACCTTATTGTAGGGAAAACGAGAATAGATGCTCTGCTTATACAGAGTATGTCGTAAGAATGTATTAAATGTGAGTTTCCTTCGAAGTCGGAGTACATGTGCTGGAAGGCAAGGAACCAACAGTCTGCATATAAATGAGTCAGATCTGTAAAATGGATCCACGCGCAACACACGGATTCTGAAACAGGACTAGAGTTCAGAAGTGGACGAACAACCAGAACTTCCTGCAGAAGTATACAGAAGATGAACGCGAAGAAGAAGCAGAAGAATCAGAGGTCCTGAGAATACTGGGAATGAAATGCTGCAAACAACAAAGAGAAACACAATTTTTCGATTACAGTAAAAGAAATAACATTCTTTTACAAATTACACTCAAGAGACACATAGGAGCAGAAAATAACAAGAGCTAGACAACAATACAAGCGGGGGGAGGGGGGGGGGATAACATCAAGAGATGGACTAACAGCGGTTATAGCAATCTGAGTGTACAACCAGGACACAGAGTGTACTGAAGATATATTATATCCTAGTGAACCTTCATTGTGAAGACGGCACTTAATCGATTAACAAAAGTTTATATAAGTCCAATCTGTATTTATTTTATGAGTCCAATCAGTACGTTAATTTGTTGATAACAGACGAGGCAGAGGGATATTTATAGCGATCACGTGGAGGTCGGGCACCGGTTGCTGCAGACGGCTTCAAAATGGCGATCAGTCCTCTCGTCCTCAGTGTACATCTTCTCATCTTCATCGTAGACGCCGTCTCCGTCTACTATGATCTGTTTCTAATTGATCTCGGTAATACTGGATTTGGTGGAAAATTTAAATTTCTGACTGTATGGAACATTGTGAGTAAAACAAGTGAAATCATTAGGACCACATTGCTGATAATAATAATAATACTAATAACTGAGAAAGGCTATCTTCCAAATTATAGCGTGGAGGCCGAAAACATACCCTAACAGGGCCTCAGTAATTGTCAGCTGCGGATTTCCGGTAACTTTAATTGCGCACTTCCTGCGACTACCGCCACCTCGGAGAGTATCTCCCACGCCGCTACGCGAGGCGTGGATTGGGGCTATAAGATAGCTGGAACTCACGAGCAGCAGCTACCGCATCTCCTGCAGCTTCCTTCATTTTATTTGCTCCTGAGTCCCAGACATCTAGTTTATCCCCAGTCCAAAATTGACACATGACTGAGGCCCTCTTAGGGTATATTTTCGGCCTGGATAATTTGGAACCATTATTCGGAAGATAGCCCTAATATAATACTTACTTTTTAGTAGATACATATTATCAGTATCATTATATAATTATTTATACTTACTAGGGATGTTAATGAAGTTTTATTGGGTACACATTTGTAAGATTTTCTGAGTTATTTTCAAACAACACAACTAATGTAGTTACAATCACGAAAAAAAAGGGGGGGGGGGGATGGTTAGTGGTAGAGAAAAAGAAATGCAACGGTACCTCATTCAAGGCTCTACTCTATTCAAAGCCATTACATAAACAGTTGGAACATAGGAGAAAAATACTGGCATGCCTTGTAATGGCGACCCTAGAGGGACGCAATCAGTGGTTCACAGAGATTATAAGGGAGACAATCCATTGTTTGTGTAGGTTCACATAATAATGTTCTGTAATTTGTAATATCACTTCACCCTAATCTCAAACAGTATTACATTTTAACGAATTGTATTATTATGTGAACTTACACAAACACTGGATTATGTTCTGTAAGGTGGGCACTTGCAGTAATGTTAACTTACAAAAGATTGATGCCCGGCTCTCTAGCGGAATTGGCTAAACCGGATTTCGCGGAGACCGGGTGACGTACTCCTTGTGGTCCGGGTTCAATCCCGGGGGTAGGCAGGAAAGTCACATTTTCTCCCAGATTTACGGTATTTACAATGGAATCAAGGCCGAAAGGTTGCGATATCCATAATACCCAGCCTAAGGGTTAACAACTCATGGCTTCTGGATACTAAAACAAACAAACAAACAAACAATAGATTGCATCCCCCTGGGGTTAGCTGAATATGATGCATCCTAATGTTGGACACGGTTCTTCGTCTTAAAGCCCCACCCTGGTTGTCGCTAAGGGTCCTAATATAACCCAAACTATGAATTGAACCAAATTTCTGGGACCTGTCACCGGGTGATTCTCATCCAAATGGGGGCACTTTGTGTCACCGAGTGTTCATGGCTCCGTGTGATGTCCTGGTAGGGTTGAACACCCTAGAATCGTCATTGCAAGGAGTGCCAAAATACTTTTTCAGCGCTTTCAGAAAATGTGTTTAAACTGTAACTTTCTTGTTTATGGAATATGCCTTAGCAACCATATATCAATTTTTTTAGGACAATAAGACCTAACAAAATAAAAAATTTATTTATGACATAATTATTATTTCAATGCAAATTAATAGCAATGATGTTGTCATGCATGGACGCTAAGGACAGTATCATCCCTACTTTTGAGGGAGATTCAGAAATTATCTACACTGTTCATTCTTCTATTTATTTACATGAAGCTAGGGTTTTAGTGTCATCTATGCAGATCAGTTTTCTGTGTATACTCCCTGATTATCAATGCACTTTGCCCAACGATCAGCAAGCTTTTGTAGTCCCTCCAAATAAAAGGTTTTTGTTGGAAGTGAAGCCACTTTTGCCCCGTATTTTGCACATCTAAGTCTGAGGCAGTATGCTATTTTGGTAACCCCATGGAGAGACTTTGTGAAAGCTGAGCTTGTCGTAGACGGTTTTATGGGTAGAACCATGACTAATGTGTAATGCAGATGCTACCTTATCGATGGTAATTCACTAATTTGCCAAAACCATCTCTCAAACTGACTGAATGTTGTCACCCATAATGAAGGTTGATAGCCGTCCTGCTCACTCTTCATGCGTTACACTTGTTCCACCACTTTTAAACTTCTCAATCCACAAAAACACAGTTTTATTTGGTCATGCTCTTCCTCCATATTGCGATAGTCTAGGGTGAATTTCTGAACCTCTAACACCCTCTGACACCAGAGGAATCTTATCACTCCTCGTTGTTCCTCTTTGATGCAAACTTCTAATGGAGTGGCTAGGATTTATCTGCATCAGAAGGAAGCAAAATAACAGAATTAGGATAAAACTTTCATATCATTACCATACCTGTATAATAAAATAAGCGAGGACAGAAGTCAGTGTGGACAATGTAAGAAGAGTTATGTCAGAAGTGTAGATAATTTTGTGTTTGCTCTCGTGTCTATATTAGGGGATCAGGATGAGTGACAGTCTGTCTGCCACTCTAGTATCCTGTTCATCAACTCTGAACACAGTAATAATTTATTTTGGTTAATAATCTTATTATAATTAATCTTGTAAGATTTTATATAATTTTTTTTTCATAGCAACTTCTGGTGATTATATTATGTTGTTTTTTTATGTGTCTGCTAAAGTAATGTTATTTTTTAAATATTAAATTATTGTTGTACAATACAGTACATCATGCTGCAGTGTATTCATTAGTGCCAGAACCTGGGGGCAAAAGTCCCCGGGGGCTTGAAACACCCACCTTCCCCTCTCCCGTTCCCCCTGTCCAATAATTGGCATACATTTTTTTTGTCATTGGCGGCTTATTTTAACCATAACTTCATATGGCTGCAAATATAAGCAGTGTGTCAGTAAGGCAGTGCTTGCTATTATCAGTCTGAATTGTTTCCTGCCTAGAATGACAGGGCAGAGATGCTGATTGGGTGGCCATAGAGAATCCGCAACTGCAGAATTTTCAAAAATTGGCAACATGAGAAAATAAATGTGAAGTCCTAGACACATGGATCTACAGGAGAGTAGTTTGTGTTTCATGAGGGGGAAAAAACCAATCAGTTAAAAAAATTTTCAGATTAGGATTGAAAACGGAATTTTGGAATGATATACAATAGAGAGAAGTAAAATATTTTAGCCTCAAAACAAAACATAAGATTTTTACAAAACAGTACTTTTGGGCAAAGTTTAAGGCTGGGAGACAAAAAGTAGACATGATTTATCTGGGAGAATAACTCCAAAAAGTGTATACTCAGCAGTGTCATAAATTGTGCAGTCAGGGCTAGAGGTAGTGTGTGTGTGTGTTAGCTATCCATTGCAGCCAGCCGTCATTGTGAAGATGGTTCCAGATTGATTGATCAGCTTGAATGCAGTATTAAGGACATAATTTTGGTTTTTACCCAACTGTGTTTAAAATTCCCATTTTTGTATAAGCTTGTAACACCTGTTGCCATTGTTTTGTGACTTGATAACTATTTGGTCACAGTTTGTATTGCACATCATGCTGATATTGATCAAGACAGAAAACTAATTAAAACAAATTGCTTCAACGACTTGTGTAAACTAAACTGGAAGATTTATTTCTGTCATCTGTTTTACCAGCAAATTATGGTTGCAGTAGCAGCATCCTGTCGTAAAATTAAAAAAATTATCTTTTTTTGAGAGACATCACCATCATCATCATCCTCTTGTGCTGTTTAAACATCACGTAAGGCTCACAGTCTATTCCCCAACTCTGTGTTCCCCTGAGTTATCTGTTGATGAATGAAATCATCAGCGTGCATCTTCAGGGTTCTCTTGAATGTCCTTATTTCCTTGGTCCCTCATTTAAGAGGCAAAAGAACTAGAAATTGTATCTGTGATCTGACATTTATATTCTTGCTTTAGCTTTGTTTGGTTTGGATATTATTTTTAATTATTTTCATAAATTTTAAGTTCAGTATGTTTGTTTAGACTTAACTCTGGCAACACAAACATAGTGCTGTTTTGATCCATCCATCCATCCATTGTCCTATAACTTGTGTTTCAATATGCCAGTTTGTTACTACTGTTGACAGTTTGATCATGTTTTATGTTTTCTCATGAGGTTAGTAACAGGGCTATATTTTATTAGAAAACAAGTGAGTGGGTTCAATAATGAACCCAGCTGTCAGCAGACAGTATACAACAGGCACTGATGTACAGATCAAGCAGAGATTGTTGCCGAAGCTTCATAGTTTGGGTTGTAGGCCTGCATTCTCACAGATAACAGTCACTTTTCAAAGAGCCACAACAGTAGGGGATAAACTCAGTTCAGTGAAGTTAATTCCCCTTTTCTAAATAGCAATCTGTTTCATAGTTATCTCACAGTATAGAGTCGTATCACTAGAACTTCATGTAAACTCATGCATGATTTTGTTAGTATGTCATTCTTATATGAACAGTGTCAACAAAAAATGTTTATAGATACTTACTAACAGTAAGAATAAACTTTTAGAAACACAGGTGGGCTTTCAACAAAATAGAAGTTGCACAGATGCCATTCATACATTGAGACAGCTATCAGAGAGAGCAATGGAACACGATAACACATGTTTTTTGACATTTATAGACCAGGAAAAAGCCTTTGATAGATTCGAGAGGGCTATTTTTGGAAATGTATGGGGAAAAAAGGGAATCAGCAATCATCTCATTAATATTTGCAAAAGCCTGTATACATGTAGTAAATGCTGCATAAGATCAAAGGCAGGATTGACAAGAACATTTATTTTGAACTCAGGGCTGTGTATTGTTGCTACTTCTTTTTATAACATACATAGATACTATATATAAGGAAACAAACTTTAATCATGAAAAAAAAAATATTACAGAATTACTATTCGCCAATGACCAGGTACTCGTAGCAGAAAGTATGGAATGCCTTCAGAACCACCTAAATCAAATTTATAACAAAGGGGAGAAAAATAATATGAAAATAAACATTACGAAGGCAGACGATGGTGATAAGAAGACAAAAATACAATTTAGAAATAGAATTAAAAAACAACTCCTTTAGGCAAACAGAAAAATTAAAGTATTTGGGAGCAATTTTCACATCCGATGGAAAACTGGAAAGAGAAATTAGCTCAAGATGTGCCAAAGCTAATCAAGTTATGGGGCAACCATCTTTCCTGGTGACACACAAGTAGATACCCTTGAGTACTTAAGTGAATTTAATCAGAACTAATTTTTGGCCAACACTATGCTATCAGTGCCATATGTGGACACTTACATCCTCTAATGAATGTAAAATTGTGACAACAGAGATGAAATGCCTTAGAAGAGCTGCAAGAGTTTCAAGGAAAGACAGAATACGAAATCACGAATGATAGGAATAAAGCCAGTCTACAGGTTATCAAAGAACAACAAATGAAGTGGTTTTGGACACCTAACAAGAATGCCCTGGTACTGTCTACCACAGCAAGCCACACTGAAATGTTACAACGGGTATAAAGCGAACGGATGACCTCGGAAAAGATGGAGTGATGGTATTAAGAACAGCCTTACAGAAATGAACATCAAATTTAATAGTGCTCTTTACAGAGCCTATCAACAAATGTTGCGTCTCCCCTCGACACTTTGATGAGGTGCAAGTTAGAAGAGGAGAAAAAGAAGACTAACATTGTACTATCCCTTGCTTTTATTGTATGCCACACAGCTTGTTTAGTCGTAATTGTAGTCAAGGATTCAGCTTCACTGCAGTGAGTCACCCCATACATGCTTTGTTTCTGTGCCAGTCAAAATCAAATAAAATGTCCCATTTTAAAAACTGGTGAACAAACGATTAATGCTGGTACAATCCAGAAATTTGCACACACAGTAAATGCATAAGGCAGTTGCTAGAGGCGCCAAAGCCAATAATTGCCATCAGAAATGCAGTTTCTCTGGAAATAGTTAGTTATGATAAGTTGGATATACACACAAACAATTGTTACATAAGGTTTCTCACCAGCCCACATGTAAATCAGCTACTGGCTATAATGAATACCACAGTTCAGCCACAAATGAAAGGCATTCCACATAAAAAACACAGCTCACAGTGTTGCCCCAGGCACTCATTAGCTTAGGCAGCGAAACCGTAGACTTCTGTCCATTTTTGGTAACTGAATTAGCAAAAGCGCTATCTGAAGTAAAAATAAGATCAAAGCTAAACATTCTGCCATGCCTAGTCCTCTATATTGAGCTGGAAGTCACACTCATGTTTGAAGAAAGAACAGTGCTGCCATAACAACATTGATCTATTAAAAAATATAGTTCTAGCACCATATGTCTACTATACCAATGGCATAAAAAGGGTTGTGTACCTTTAACTTTGTTTTCTTAATACCAGCATGTTTTTGTTATGTGTCATTCTGTTTCCTTTACAGTGCTTCCAGGCTGTGTATTTTGGCCTTTGTGTTATCAGTGATCTCTATGGTAATGAGAAGACACCATTAGAGCATGCCAGAAGGTCTGTGTTGCTGAAGGTCCGAGATTTTCTCCATACAACAGTAGCATTCCCGATGGGGATGGTAAGTATCAAATTCAAACTCACAATAGATGAAGGTACCCAGAGTCGTGACCTAGATGTACCTGCACCCAAAGAATGTTTAGGAGATGAGGAACAAATCATTCTGCAAAGAGGGATAGCTTCTGATGGTCCAAAGCTGTCTGTTGTACTTGCTGCCCTTCATCATCATCATCAGGTGCTTTGCCGACTGGGCGATCATGCCTCTCCATAATCCACGATCTCCTGCATCATGTATAATTTTGTGTGCTGACACACCTCCATGCCACGCAACAAGACTGTCAAGAATCTTCTCTCGTTGTCTTCCTCTATCCATCCTTCCACAGATCTTTCCAGTGGTCACAACATGTTCTTCTTCTTCTTCTTTCGTTCGCATGAAATAAATTCTCTATATCTGCAATGCTACCACAAGTGTCTATTTTGGCCAGAAGTTTTGCCTGGAAGAGTTGAATCTGGGACAGTCTTAGAGGATGTGATCTGTTGTCCCAGGTGCCAGTCCACAGGTACACATAGCTGATTCGCCAGTCTTAAATTTTTGTATATGTAGCAGCGAAGTCGATTGTGCCCCTTTCTAAGGCGAAGGATAATGACTTGCTCTGATCTGTCCATAATATGGTAATCGTCTTTTGCCAGTTGCGGTAGCTTTTTAATTGATTTCATTATTCTCTTCTTCTGTTGATAAGAGACTGGTATGTCAGGTTGTTCTTCAGTTGCACCTTCCTTAGCTAGTTTATCAGCTCTTTTGTTTCCGGGAACTCCACAGTGGGAAGGTATCCACTGCATTACTAGATTACAACAGTTGCCTAGTTCGGATAATAGTGTCCGTATGCTTGGTAATTTTCCAGACCGGAGTGCCTGAAGTACCACTTTTGCATCTGTCAGGAATACCACTGGTTGTGAAAAATACCCTGTATTTAGTAGTTTCTCTACTGCTATTTTGATGGCTTGAGCTTCAGCATCATAGTTGTGACAGTGCTTTCCTGTGGGTATTTTAGCTGTATCCCTGGTTTTATTAATATACTCAATGTACAATCCTGCACCTCCGTTTCTGACTGCACTGTCTGCAGTGTAAACACGGACCCAAAGATTCTGCGGGTATTCATCATTAAGTAGATTGAGGGTGGCTGTTTTACGCTGCACACTGTTTTGTTCTTCCTTGTTAAATACTCCTTTCACTTCTGTGTTGATGTGTATTGGAAACTTATACTCCTCTCTCTATGGGGTCCGTTCTGGGACAGCATTTAAGGGGCTATCAGTTACAGGCAGATCAGTGGTTTGTCTGCAGAGCTGTTTGGCCTGGTGGATGAAACTACTTCTCTTTAGTCGTCCCAAAGCTAGATTTTGGAATCTTTTATTCATAGGGTGACTAGGCATACTAAGAAACTTAGTGGTTCCACTTAGTTTTCTTACATGTTCTATTTTCCCTCATCTCATAACATGGCCAAAAAATGATGACTGTCTCCTTCTGATGTCTGTGATAAGTTGTGCTGCCCTTCAGAGTTCTTATTAATTACAGACAAAAATATTACACTTTGTTGTGATGACATCATGTAACAACGGAAAGACTCATGGGCAACTCTATTACCCTTGTTTGTGATCACGGTCTGTAACAAAACAAATGACTCATATTATAAGTATTTTTGTCAGTTTGTTGCGATCACATCCTCTAACAAATAAATAACACCTATCATCATCATCTTGTGGTGCCATTTATCCATCACAAAGGCTCATGTTCTGTTCCTCTGTTCCATCATATCCTCTCCAGTGTTTTTTATATCTTGTATGGAATCCAGCCTGTCAGCTAATTCATCAGTGTTCATTTGGACATCCTCTCTATGTCAGACCATTTGTTTTGTGTTTCCATGCCTGTTTTGTAAAGCCTTGTCTGTTTTGTATCTCTTTCTCCACATCTCATATTTTGCAAAAAAAAATTTATTTTCTTTATTTATATCTTCAAATAATTCTTTAAATAATTGTGATCATTCAGTTTTATCTATCTTTGGGAACATTGAAAGTGATCTTGGTTATTATTATGTTGTCACTTGTAAGCTAGTATTTCAGTTTGTTGTGATCGTGTCCTGTAACATGACACTGTCACTGCCTCACATAAACATATATTTCAGTTTGTTGTGATCGTGCTCTGTAACATGACACTGTCACTGCCTCACATAAACATATATTTCAGTTTGTTGTGATCGTGTCCTGTAACATGACACTGTCACTGCCTCACATAAACATATATTTCAGTTTGTTGTGATCGTGCTCTGTAACATGACACTGTCACTGCCTCACATAAACATATATTTCAGTTTGTTGTGATCGTGTCCTGTAACATGACACTGTCACTGCCTCACATAAACATATATTTCAGTTTGTTGTTGTGATCATGTCCTGTAACAAGACTTTGTCACTGCCTCACATAAACATAAATTTCAGTTTGTTGTGATCATGACCTGTAAAATGACACTGTCACTGCATTACATAAACATTGATTTCAGTTTGTTGTTGTGATCATGTCCTGTAACATGACACTGTCACTGCCTCACTTAAACATATATTTCAGTTTGTTGTTGTAACTTTCTGGATTTTGTACGCTGTGGACAGAGAGCTGGTCTACCCCAAAAGCCTGGACTCTATCATACCATCTTGGCTGAATCATGTTCTGGTGAGTATTTCTTGTTTAGCTATTCCACCCACATGGTTTCTTGCTCATGTACAGTCTTGACTGTGTTTCGGTTATAAGTTGACTATATTTTCTTTCTTATATGGGGGGAGGGGTTGTTTCTGGCATCTGTTTGTTGTTCTTTATTACCAAAGTGAGCATATTTATTATAGCAGCAGTCTTCGTCTTTGTGTTCACTGGCTGTAAACTCCGACAGAAAAGTTATGGTTGTTTGTCCACTTCTGGCCTTTGGTCTTGTTTCAGTTTTGTGTGCACATTCATTTTACTGATCTGAATTATTTGTATGCAGACTCATGGTTCCTCACCTTCAGGCAGATGCACTCTGACTTTAAAGATAACAGGGTCCTTAACCTTTTTTTTTTTTAAATGTCATCATCAGTATCCTGTCCAACGCTTCTGGGTTATAATTGGAGTATATATAGTTTGTGTCTTTTCTAATATTGGATATTTATGTTTGCCTATTATTGTTGACTATTCAATATTGCATATATGTTAGTTATAACTGATTGTAAAATTATGCCAGATGTTGAGCATATTTTTTATAAGTGCACTTTTTAAATAATTGTTTTAATCAGTTTTATCTATTTTTGGGAACATTGAAAGTGATCTTGGTCATTATTCTGTTACTTTGCCATATTAATACCCGGTGTACACATTTCAGTTTTTGTGATTGACTCATTTTTATATTTTTTGTATGTTTGTTATGTCTCTAATGATATTGTAGGAAATTAAAAGTAGACTCTACTTTCAAATATTGAAACCTTAGGAAGGTGGAAACAACATAACTGTTTCTAAAAAGGTGGGGGAGTAAATATGAGTCATGACTTGGCAGCTGCTTGTATCATCAGTTGTAAGGCAATGAGAACACAATATAAGGGCACATCATAAGGGGAAAAGGACAGAGAATCATCAAGCAAGCGCTAAAATGGTAAACTAATGGATTGAAGACACAAGGCTGTCCAAGAGAAGCCCTGAGCCGAATGCAGAAGAGACAGGCCAGAGGTGCTAGATTGGATTCTATCCATGATATCAAGACAATTGCACAGGTGTAACGGTGGACTGGACTGCAAGCCCTCTGTGATGTAAAACGACATAACATGATGATTGTGATAGTGATGGCTGTAACAAGGAAGAATACAAACAGAAAGTGCCAGCCGAATGGATGCAGAAGACGTTGATGAAGAACATGCAGATAATTTCTTAATTACATTTCTGACTTCTTTCTTATTCTTTTTCGTGTTCACCTGCTTTAAACTTTTGCAGAAAGTTCTGGTAATCATCTACTTCTGTTCCAGAAACTGAGTGTTGCATACACATCCGCTTCACAAGTCTGACTCATTTGCATGCAGACTATTGGTTCCTTGCCTCTCTGGCATATGTGCTCTGACTTCAAAGGAGGCCCACATTATGTAGATTCTTGCGACATGCTTTTGAGTAGGCAGTGGGTCTATTTTTGTCCTCACTCACAATGGGGCCATTGTACCCACATGGGGAACATGTCTGACAGAGACAGCATTAGTAAATATGAGAAAGTGCATATACATTTGAAGAGTCACAAGAAAATTAAAAAGAATGACAATCATTAATGCATGTTCCCTCGGGAGAGAACAAAATTAAGCAGATCAAGAGGAGAGGAAAATACAACAGCCTGGGTAACACACATACTGAGAAAACTTGATAAAACTATAACTAGAATGTCCTTGGACTAGACAAAGGGCAAAAGAAATTTTACAAAAAGGACGTGTAGTACAAAGAATTGACAAATGAAAGTGCAGTGGGAAGGACACATGGTGAGCTACACATTGTTGATGAATAGGACGACTGCATGTTAGCTTAGGCATATTCTCAGTTGGTGAAGTAAAGATAGAAGAAGGAGAATAAGTCGCTTTGTGTGACAAGACAGTTGGCATAAGTACTATCAGGTCCTATGGTAAGTATTATGTATCAGCAGTGTTATCAATGCTAACTGGCATGGATGATCATGTTTCTCCACAGCTCCTGTTTCCATTAGTGTATCACAAGCAAATTATTTCATTTAACATCATTTGTTTTGAATGAGTTTATCAGACCAAAGACTGGTGAGAAGTTTCTGAACATGTTAAATTTATGATCATATTCTTTTGTAAGTAGTTTTTGCTTTGTTTCCACACCTACAGAAATGGTTTATAAGCTTTGCCTTGAAAAAGTTTCCAGCTTTTAGTTGGTGCAGTACTAGGCTCGGTTCTGCTTATAGCAGCATCCTCCCTGTACTGTGCTTGCCATGCTCCTGTCTTTTTTCACTGGGACGTGTGGTTTTCTGTCTCCACAGTGAGGTTTGACTACAGCAGTTGAGCAACACTGTCTGTCTCTCACCATAGTTCTAGACTCTAACAAGCTATCTCTTGATGTTATCTTTCTTCTTGTATCACTATCTACCTTTTATTTATCTTACTTCGGTTTTTCCATCGATTATAAGAACCACATCTTTTAATGTGCCCACACTATTTTTATTTTGTTTAAATGTCTTTTAAATCAGTCCTTTCATTTCCAGTCTGTCTAGAACCTTTATTTATCATTGGTTTTGTTTCCCACATATTATTTCCTGCGGACAATTAAATTTGACCTTCTGATTCCTTATCCACTATACTGGTTTCTGTTTCTGTGCCATAAAGTAGTGTTACATATACACAGCATTAGAAAGTTTTCATGTCTATTGCGTTTATATTTTTTGTTTTAAATTAAAAAAAAAAAAATTCAGTGTCACTGAGTTTACTTTCAGTAAAACTTTGAATATGAAGATTGTGAATCAGTCAGTATATTGTTTCTCCAGCACACCACAGTAATGCCATTCCTTTTGGTGGATAAACTTTTGGTTTATCATCATCATCCCAGGAAACATGTTGGTATCCTGGGGGCAGGTGGTGTAGCCTTGATCTATATATCTTGGTAAGTGCATGTTTTGGATTGTTTGCTTCAGTAAAATGTACAGATTCTCTTCACTGGAAAGTGTAGGTGAGATGGCAATCTTCTGCATAGATAGAATATGTTGACTAGTCTACCACACAGATAGAATATGATGACTAGTATACCACACAGATAGAATCTGTTGACTAGTCTACCACACAGATAGAATATTATGACTAGTCTACCACTCAGATAGAATATGTTGACTAGTCTTCCACACAGATATAATATGTTGACTAGTCTACCACTCAGATAGAATACTGTAATGAATGGTTTTGTATTTCTACTCGTTGTCTAGGCGGTGTTCATGCGTGTGTGGTGGATGATATTCTGACACGCTTCACGTTACACACCTGGCACAAGCCGACACCGATGTGAGCTTACGAGACATTACTTTATTGACGTATTACAACTTACGACAAACAGAATCGTCCAGTCGATGTCTAATTGAACCGCTTTCGTACACAAACTCACGCAGCCTTTTAACGAACAGTCTTCTGCAGGCATTCAAGCAACGATGGGTCCCATGGATTCAACACTGACGTTTGGACATCTCACACGCTGGCATGGTCGATCTCAGCTTAACATTTCGTCGGCAGGTCTCCTTTCTCCTCAGGCACTCACGTAGACATTCGCACATTCAGACGCTCGTCCTCTCGCTCCAACAGGTCGACACAAACTAAACTTGACCAGAGTCAAGTCTGACTTATACCACGGGTTCCTTTCACGTGACAACACGTGGTGGTCCTTTACTTTTCCCGTGGCGACCTTGGGTCGCATCACCGTGGTCCCCGTGATAACTAGTGGTTAGTCACCTATCTCCAGATTCTCGTTTAATCCAAGTATCTGGACTATCTCGTGTGTTTTCGGTCAGCTTTGGGCCTTCCCCCCAACCATCCTAAACTGGGTCGAAAATATCCCCCATTACATTCTCCCTTCCCCCGTATAAAAAAAAAGTTTTTTTTTTTTTTTCCTCATTATCGTTAATGGATAGGAGTATATTTTATGTAATGCTTGGGTATTTTCACTGGTATCATGGGTAAAAAATTTATTCCCCCCCTTTTGGGTAATTCATGTTTTCCCTTTGGAACTTTTATCAGTTGTCATGCCAGTGAGTATTATGTGGCGTAATGGAATCAACACCCAGGCAATACTCTTTCAATTGCGGAAGACCATAAAGGCTCTACGCGTTTCCCACCTCATCCCACAGTCTGTCAAACGACAGAAAATCACCCCAGGCACTACTCTTCCAAGTGCGGAAATCCATAACGGCTATGGAACAATAATGTAAACCCGTAAAGTCCCACCCTTGCCACTATACTCACCGAACATCCACTGATGTTATTTCCATTGGATATTCATTTATTTCCCCTTATAGGTGATATGGATTTTATCTCCCCTACCTATAGTGATTTCCCAACAGTCTTTATTACATTTCTAATAATTATCTCCCTTTACGTTTTCAAAAATATTACAATGTATCACTTAAATTTCCTGTATACATTTCAATTGTTGAGTGATATATATTCAAAACATTAAATAGCATATTTCATCGTCACAACTTTGCATTTTCAATTTTGAAATATTGTTTACATTTTGTATTTAATAAATATTCATATCTAATTCTAAACTATTTCGTCACGTCACCCTATGTCTATGTCCAGTATTCATCACAATGACATGATATATACAATTTATACAAAATATATATACATACATATAAATCATATGTGTCGATCAACAATAACATTTCAGATAATCCAAACATACATACTATAATAAGACTTACAATCTTGACATTACATCAGGCAGGTGATTATGGATGCCTTTGATGTGCTGTATTTTAAATTTAAACTGTGCAATCAATAGAGCCCATCTGTACACTCTAGCGTTGTTTGTTGACTCCATGGTCATCAATTTGGTAAGACCTAAATTGTCAGTTAAGATAGTGAATTCTTTCCCTAATAAATATTTTTGAAATTTCTTCAGACTCAGAACTAATGCTAATGCTTCTTTCTCAAATGTGCTGTACTTCTGCTGTGTAGATGTTAGTTTCTGTGACCAATATAAAACTGGAAGAAGAGTGTCTGTTTCTTTCTGTGCTAACATTGCAGCTATGGTGTGTCCACTAGCATCTGTCTGTAGAAAAAAATGTTTACTTGGATCTGGCTGTCTCAAGATTGGTGGTGTTGAAAACAAATGTTTAATTTTTTCTAAAATTGTGTCATGAGTTTCATTCCAATCTCTTTTCCTAAATTGTTCTGTTTTCAACAGTTCCGACAATGGTGCAGTTAAAGCTGCCAAATTACAAATAAACTTGCCATAATAGTTTATTAACCCCAACAATGATTGTAATTGTTTTCTAGTCTTAGGTTTTTCAATATTCAGAATTTTAGACACAATGTTATGATCAGTTTGGATTTTTCCTTCGCAAACAACATGACCTAAAAAGTTTATTTTCATAAAACAAAACTCAGACTTCAATGGGTTCACTGTCAGGTTTGCTTCCTGAATTTTTACAAACACTTTTTCCAACGTTACCAGATGTTCAGGTATATCTTTCGTGTGGATGCAGATGTCATCCATGTAGGCGATCACGTGTTCCATATCCCCCAAAAGCTTTCGAATCATTTTTGTAAAGATGTTTTAATAATCCAAAAGGAACCCTCAACCACTGTTTTAACCCCAAAGGTGTTTGGAAACTGGAGTACTTACTGGCATTTGGAGTCATGGGGATTTGCCAATATCCCTTACACAAATCTAATTTTGTAAAATATTTTGAATTATGTTGAATGGTATCGTCAGTTGATGGTATAGGTTCTTTTTCAAGATAGGTAACCTCGTTCAATTTCCTATAATCGACACACAGTCGTAAGTTACCATCTTTCTTTTTGACTATCACCATGGGTGAACTATATTCAGAGTTTGAATCAGTGATTATACCATCTTCTTGGAGTTGTTTTAACTCTTCAACAACTTTATCCATATAATGGATTGGTATGGTATAATTTCTTGACTTCACAGGAACAGCTGAGTTCAACTGGATGTCGTACTCTATCAAATTAGTTTTCCCAGGTTTACTCCCAAAAATCTCTTTGTATTTATTAATCAATTTTAAAATGCTGTTTTTATCTTTTTGTGAAAGGCTTTCATTTATTTTGACTAACTTCCAGTTGATCCCATCTGATTTGGCAGGTGTTGGAATTTCTTCCTCCACTGCATCTGTAGCTGTTTCATCAATCACATTACATGAATTTGCATTTGCAATCTCAGCTCTTCTGAAATACTTCTTAAGCATGTTAATATGAAAAATTTTCAGATTGTTTTTGTACAGTATTTCGTAATCTACATCAGACACTTTCCTAACTACCTTATATGGCCCTTGCCATTCGACACACAGCTTGTCGGACTTTTTGGGTAATAGCACCAGAACATCATCGTTCGGTTCGAGCTCAATGAGCTTGCTCACTCTGTTGGCATAATATCTTTGTTTTACGGTTGCCTGGGCACTGGACCTAGTCGCCTCTTCACATGCGGTCATGATTTTATGTCTTAAATTTACAACAGCTTGGTAATCATGAACTTTGGGATCTTCTTCATCTTTTCCAGTAATTAGGTTTTTGTATACTTCTAGAGGGCCTCTAGGGTTGGCTCCGTACACGAGCTGGAATGGTGACACACCTGTTGAACTGTGTGGTATTTCCCTGTAGGCAAATAACACTGCTGGTAAAAGACTGTCCCAGTTTATGGGGTTGTTATATGTTATCCTTGATAACATAGTCTTTACCGATTTGTTTAAATTTTCCACTAACCCATTTGCTTGGGCGTGGTATGGAGTGGTGAACTGTTGTTTAATACCTAACAGATTTGTGACTGCTTTTGTTATCACTGCCGTAAACTGGGTACCTCGATCTGATATTATGATCTCAGGAAATCCCAACCTTGAAAAAATCAATATCAATGCCTCATGTATGTGCTCTGCAGTAATATACTTAAGAGGGACTGCTTCCGGCCATTTTGTAGCCACATCTATCAAAGTGAGTATAAACCTATTACCTTTTGCAGAAGTGACAGGTAGCGGACCTATTATATCTATGGCTACCTGTTCAAACGGTCTTTGTGCAGTGAGCCCTGGTTGAACGGGAGCTGTAGGATTTACCCCTTTCTTGGTCGTTCTAGCACATATATCGCAGGACTTCACATACCGTTTGACTGTGCTGGTGACCCCTGGCCAAAAAAATGTTGATAACACTCTGCATGTAGTTTTTGCTATACCTAAATGACCAGCAAATACAGAGTCATGTGCTAATGATAGGGCTTGCTCTCTGAATTTCTCTGGCAGGACAATTTGTTTCGTTGTAATTGGACCTTTCTGGTACAAGCGGATTAAAATATTTTTATTCAAAACAAATTTCCATGATGCACTCTTTACAGTTTTGGCATGTGCATTCACTAAAGTAAACATTTTTGTAGCGTCATGTCGCTTTTCTGATCTTCACAAAATTTCATTTTTGTAGTTAACTGCTCCAAATTTGTAATAACATTTTCATTCAACAACTCACTCTCTTTTTCTCTGTCCTTTCGTTCGTCTTCAGTCATACTCCTGGTGACTGCTGCTGCTTCATGTATACATTCTATTTTCTCACTGTTTCTCATGTTTTGGACACTTCCAGTCTCTATACTGTCATTCATGCCACTACTCTCATTCCAACATTCATCTTTCATTACTTCCACAGTGGATGCAGGGTTTGGAGTTACATCATTCCCTTGATTTTCTTTCATTACCTTCACAGAAGATGTGGGGTTTGAAGACACCTCATTTACTCTTTCATTATGTCTGCTTACTGGAATGTTTTCTATCTCCCATTTCGTGATGTCATCCTCTGATACCTTTTCTAAGTCTTCTCTGTTACCTATAATCAAATCTGCACATGGTGATGGTAACATGGCACAATAAATTTTTTTCCTAAGATATGGTGTTG